CCGTGGTTACCTCCAGGGCTCCTGCCCCGGGGGCGATCCGGCCCCCTCCGCCGCCCCAAGCGCCCACGGTGGGTGCGCTCAGCTGCCTGGGGAGGAAGCGAAACCCGAGGGAACCGCAGCATTAGTGTATCTCTCTGTATTTTAATAATGGCACTAAATCCCGGCCAACTTCCCCCGCCTGCCCTCCGCCTCGCTCTTCCCAGGGCCTCTTCCCATGCGGAGATGCGGGGAGGGTTTTCCCCGGGGCGGTGGGGAAGCTCGCCCACGCGGCCCCCTAGCCCCACGCAGCTCCGTTCCAGGGTCTTTGACCACCCCCAGCCCCGTCCAGCTCCGTCTCAAGGGCCTTGACCACCCCGAGAGCAAGACCCCTGAGCATCCCCTTGGCCGCCCCGCTGGGGGGTCCCGGCGCTGGGCGCACCCCGGGGTGAGGAGGTTAGAGCCATTTCGGCTCCCGACGGCTGAACATTCCCGGCTTGGACGTTTGTGTGCACCGAGGGACAGTGTGTGAGCAGAGCAGAGGGGGGTGTGTGTGTATACGTAGGAAAGGGCAAGTAGTCAAAACTCTTCTATTTCTTTTTTTTTTTTTTTTCTTTTTCTTTCTCACTCTCTCTCTTTATTTCTCCCCCTCTTCTTTTTCCGAGGAGGCTGCTGCAGGGTTGCCTGGCATGAATGAGATCAGTTTTCAGGGTTTTTCCAGGGTGACATTTACTCTGTCTGTCTGAGCAGGGACTGTCTCTATTTAGCTGATATGTTTGAGCTAATCCAATTATTTTCAGACTGCTGCACGCGACAGTTGCATTGTTTATCCAGCGCCAGGAACTTTAATAGAGTCCGGATGCGGTTAGAGTGACAAAAAAACCCAGACCTGTATGTTTTGTACATGAAAGCAGGAGAGAGAGAGAGATGGAGTGAAACAAAAGAGAGGGACAGAGACTCAAACAGCCCCGGAGCGGCTGCCCCGTGTAACCAGAGTGGAACAAAACGACCTGGGTATTAACGGGAGCCGCTCCCCGCTTGGCCCCGGTACGGACCGGGCGCTGTGGCGGGGGAGGGGACGGGTGTTTCTGG